TAGGCACCAAAATACTCTATTTGAAAAAATCAGTTAGCTGTATTTTAGATGAATTGGTAGGTTTGCTCCCTGGGTGATCCAGACTTGGAATCCTTAGCCAGATTCACTGAAATTAGGACATAAAGATTTGCTGCCATCTACCTCATAGCATTATTGTCTGCTATCACACATTACCAGATAATAGAAATATTGATCTATTAGTGTTCACTTTAAAATAACTATAGTCCTGGTTGATGTTGCTCAGCTGGATGAAGCATTGTCCTGCAACCAAAGGGTTGCAGGTTCAAGTCCCAGTCACTGCACATGCCTAGGCTGCAGGTTCAATCCTGGTCCAGGTGCTTATGGTCCCTGGTCTGGGTGCATATGAGAGGCAACCGACTGATGATTCTCTCTCATGTCAGTGTTTCTCTCTCTCCCTCTTCTTCTCTCTCTCTGAAAGCATGAAAAAAATGTCCCTGGGAAAGTATAAAAATAAAAAATAGTAACAAATAAAAAGTATAAAACAATCACAACAAAGATTTTAAAATCACATGCCACAAGCCTGAGCACTTTTAGTATACTTGCAACCTGCCTTATTACTCATTTTAATAGTCTCATCAGTCAAATAAGCCTATTAGTTATTATTCAAATGAAGACAACTTTGAAAATAAAATGGGGCTCTACCAGTAATTATACCAAGTCAGCAGACAGAGTGGGGCTGACCCGGCAAATCATGCCAATGTGGTTACATGACACCTTGGTCTATGGGGATCTTCAGTAATACAGTATACAAAAGTGTGGTGACAGAGTACCTCATGACACACTTGTGAAATGCACAACACAGACATGCTAGGGTCATCTCCTCTGGAAACCATGAGCCTCTGGCAGTATACTCTCACGCTGTCAGAACCATTACCACCTTTTTTGAGAACTATCTTGAGTAAAAAAGGTGGTGTCACTAGAAACTGTTTTCTTATACAACATTGTATGTTCTAATAAAGACAATTCTAAAAGAAAAAATTAAAAACCATTTTGGGCCATGACACTATTGCAACACATGTTTACTTCACAAAATGTATACTCTTCAAAATAATGCTTATTTGGATGTGCAAATTCTAATTCATTTTACATTAAAAGGGTATATATAATAATTATTCTACAGCTACACTTTAACAAACAAAACAGAAGTATTTTAGAAAGCTACCCCTAAATCAAACAAACAAAAAACCTATTCTCAAATTTTAAAATTAAAGGCAAAACTAATCTCTTAGCTGAGAAGTATGCAGGTGATTTTTTCATAATAAAAACATTTGTTTGCTGGTTAGAAAATGTTGATAAAAATTATTTTCAAAGAAAAGTAGAAAGCAAAATCCTCAATATATGATACTACCCTTAAAAACATGTGTACAACCTGCAAGGAACCTAAAAAATAAAAGCTGGATTTTACCTATCTTTGTGTAATTATGACCATTTAAAGGGCTGGCTCATATAAGATATTCTATGTGTATTAAAAAACAAGCTGTGTCTAAAAAGGTAGGAAAAAAACCTCAAAAAGGTAAAAACAGTACAATGTTGCTGTGATAGTAGAGGTTCACCTGTGGTTCACCTGTGTGAACCTGTACACATAACAGCCATCGAAGTGTGAGGCAGGCCAGTAACTATATAATTTGTACACTTTCAGGCCATTAAAAATGAAGGGCTGCATCACACATGAATGTTAAGTACCTCAAGCCCTAGCTGGGTGGCTGAGCTGGTTAGAGCATTGTCCCATACACCAAAAGGTTACAGGGTTTGATCCCCTGTTGGGGTGCATGCCAACAACTGATCATCTATTTCTCTCTCACATCTCTCTATCACCCCCCCCATCCCTTCCCCTCTCTCTGAAATCAATAAAAAACTTCATCGAATTAGGATTAAAAAATTTTTTTTAATCAGCAAAAAGATAATAATCTATTCAAATGCTAAATGATGAAATATTTTAATAAACAAATACCATTTCTGCATCATGTGCATTTTCTGGTAAATAGCATTAACAACCACTTCTGAGTTACTTTCAGAAAACACTTCTACCTCCTTGTATGCTTTCTAAGTTCTAAGCAAGTAGTGCTCCTAGAATTAAGGAGAAAAAGCAACCAATCAAATATTCTTACAGAGGTTACTATGGTAAAACCTCCCAAGACAAAAACTTTGGGGCCTGGGAAATATCACAATTTTCATAAGCAGCACATATGCTGCTTATATGAACACAAAGAGATGAACAAAGCAATTTTCTCCTACTAACAATCTATTTCTCTATCTACAAAGAATCACAGAAGCTTATAAATGGCAAAACTAGCAGGTTAGGAACCAGATACAGTTTTGCAATATGCTTGTTCACTGATACTACCTCAACAATTAGGCCAAAAAGTCATTAGCAATGTAAACACAGGAATACTTTATGAATGATAAGCCATGAGAAGGCAAACCTGAGATAGGAATTGAGACTTTAGTGTAGGAAACCATTCTTCGTGGTGTGGGCCCAGCAGCCACTTGGAGCTGCACAGGACCCATACCCACAGATAGGTTCTCCCGTGGGGAATCAGGCCTGCAATGTACCTAGGCCGCTATGAGACTTGCTTTTGCTAAAACTGCCTCACCCTGAATTGAGGCAGCAAATGTTTACTGCAAAGTAGCTTCCTAAAATCCATGCTAAACCTTCCAAGGACAAGTGTAACTGGTCCAACCACTTTTCCCTTTTCATTTGTAAATATCCTTCTTCTATGATGTGATTAGCAGCATCCTCTCCTTTGTTTTCTGTAAAAGGTAACCACCTAAAGCCAACCTCTGCATAGTAAATGAGGACCATCATGTAATGTGCCCAGAAACCCAATAAAGGTCAGTCACTGCAAGGGCCGCGGCTTTTTCTCCCCTTGAGAGAAAAGCCATGCTCGCCCTTTTCCTCCACAGAACCTGGTAGGTCCATGTGAATGCCTCGTATCTCACCCACAATGTCGCAGACCCCACAAGCTGGGATCTGCATCACTTTAGTTTTAAAAAGATTCAAAATGTTAGTAGTGCCTGGAATTTAAAATTACTTTGGAAATAGGAAAGACTGCTTACAAAATGATGAAGTAGAGAAGCATCTTTCTAAAATTAGGACAAGGATTTTTTAAGCTTAAAACGATACCTCAAACATACTAGTCATCATAAATAATTTTAAATCAAGAAAGAGAGTTGCTGTTGGGTTTCACTTGAGGCTTGGTAAAGGGAAATAAAAGGATGAGAAAGCCAGGTTTCTGTAAGACATTTCATGGGAGAAGTTTCAGCAATGTGTTGCTAATAAGACAAGACATTGAGAAATACACCTTAGGAAGACTTCAGTCACAAAGTCTAAATTTTAGAAGTAATATGAACCAAATCACTTATTAAAACATGTGCATTTGTGTTTGTGTGAGTTTTGAGGGGAAGAAGTAGGGAAGGAGAGAGTAGGCATCCATTCTAGAAAAGTGAAGTACAACTATAGCAAAAAATTTGGGGAAAAAAGTTTCTCCTTTAACCTGAACTCATTTTGTAAGGGGTTTCTCCTTTGTAAACATTTTTAAAATACTGAGCATTCTGCTTACTAACTTAAGGCCATTTTTATTAAAGGCCCTGCTGTGAAAGCATAATTTTAAAACACTGATATTCCACTTCTCTAAATGGATTTCAAGCTACAGCCCAAACCAAAAGGCAACTACAGTGGTTAAGAGTGCGGTCGCCTGGCTCTATCATTACTAACCTGTGAACTTGGGCTAGTTTCTTATCTAAGCCTCGGTTTCTCATCTGAATCCATATAAAGTGTGGACTTAGTATTTGTACGTACATGGTACAAGTGTTCAGTAAATAAAATCTGCCTCTGATGTTGCTGCTATTATTATTAACACTAAACACAGTTAAAACTGGGTCCTAATATTGTTTTAGTCATTTAAAAAAATACTAAGTATTTTTTAAAATGTGGTTGAAAACTCAAATTGTAGAGAGAGAAGGAATGACTATTCAGTCCTTAATAACTTCAATAAGAATCTGTTTCTTGTACCAATTTTCACTATATAGTTCTAAGTCCAAGAACTTCTGGCTAGGATTAAAAAAAATTATTCTATAAAAACAAAAACTCAGAAGCAAGAGGCTGAGTCAGAATTGGATCAGTTTATAAATAGAAGCTATAAATGAGATTTCATTGTAAAGTAAATTAGGAACTTCTTCCAAGATTGATAAATAAAGTCAATTCAATTATTTGTGGAATAAGGGAATCAAGAATAAAAGAGTGAACAAATCAAAAGAAGAAAACCCTTAAACCAAATTTGTGTGGTAGTTTTAACATTATCCCTCTCTAGCCCACCATCAAACCTTTTTCCAAATTGCTGATGTGAAAATTTAACTTCTGCGAGTTCCTTCAATCTTGTTATCCTTCCTTATCATTAGGAAGAGCTACAAAAAGCAAGAAAGTAGCTAAAAATTAAATTGGAAACTGAAGAGAAAAACAAAAGACCTGGATAATCAAACCTGTGGATAATCTAAAATGGATTAAGATTCATCATTTAATAACATGATCTAAACATCGTTTTATTTTAATTAGCAGAAAAAGCACACATAAGAAATATGTTAAATAATGCAGATTAAATACAAAAGTCTGCACTTTATCTGTAGCAGTAATGTGAACGGCACACAAAATACTCCTGAGGTACACAGAAACAAGATGCTTACATCATGGACAGTTTATACATGCCTTTTCCCCTATATTTATCTTACTCTTAAGTTAAAGGAAAATATTAACACATCTAAATTATACTTTTTCATGAACTGCAACCACAGGCTGGCTACAGAAAGAAGAGTTTTGCAAAACTCAGTGAAAGCATTTTGTGAGACCTAACTGGCTACATAGAATTGGCAATAAGAGTAGTATATATTTTACTATTATTTATAAATTCTTTGCTACATTCTCTATACTAAGTAAACTTTACAAACTTATTGTACTGAAAACAGTATGAGATAAAAAATGATACCTGAATCTCTTTCTTGACTGGTTTAGCTTTGTTATCCACAACTTTATTCCTAAATTCAAGAAGAACTTCTTTACAGTCCTCAAGATGAACCTCAGGCTCCCAGGTATCATCATCTGATGTATATCCTTTCCATCGAACTTTGTAAAGGATTTTACCCTGTTATATAAATTAAAAACAGGCAAATAAAGGACATTAATGACTTGATCAAATTTCCAAAACAATACAATTGCTGAGAATACAGGAACAAACTTGAAATGGAGATTAATATCATTATAAAGTATGTTCATATCCTGCCATGGTTAAAAAATACAGGAACACACCAAAGGCAAAAACAAACAAGTGGGACTACATCAAACTAAGAAGCTTCTGTACAGCAAAGGAGATAATTAACAAAATGAAAAGGCTGTCTACCGAATGGAAACAAATCACGTAAGGGGCTAACATACAAAATATATAAAGAACTAATACAACTCAATAGCAAAAACCCAAACAATCTGATTAAAAAATGAACAGAGGATCTAAACAGACATTTTTCAAAGAAGATATTAAATGGCCAACAGGTACATGAAAAGGTGTTCAGCATCACTAGTCATCAGGGATATGCAAATAAGAACCACAGAGGTATCACCTCATACCCATTAGAATGGCTGTTACCAATAAGGACAAAAATATAACACATATTGATGAGGATGTTAGAAAAAAAGAAAACCCTGTACACACTGTTGGTTGGAATGTCATTTAGTGCAGCCACTATGGAAAAGGGTATGGAGGTTTCTGAAAAAGTTAAAACTAGAACTAACATTAATCCAGCAATCCCACTTCTGGGTATTTATTTGAAAAAGGTAAAAATATTAACTTAGGGAGTTGGAAGATGGCGGCGAGGTAGGTGTGCGCACAGGTAGAACACCTAGCTGATCTGAGGAACAGCCAAAGGAATCCCAGCATATATGGAAGTTGGAGGCCAAAATTGTAGAGGACATTGAAAAACAGATGGTAAGGAGATTGCATTGGGACGTTAAGGTCCCTGGGACCAATGCGGACATCAGGGCTGCTGCAGCCTCTGGCCCAGTGCCTGCTGGGCCTGCCAGGTTTGCCACAGGATTCTTTGGACAAGAGCCGAATCAACCTCTCCTTCCCCTGCCAAATAGGGAGGACAGAGTAGCACCAGGATGGACCCGGATGCTTGAAGTTGTGGGGGAATAAAGACAAAGTGGGAGATGCACAGGGGGAGGAATCACCCACTGAGACTGTGGATGCTGCCTGGATCATTACCAGAGAAATTGGGGAGCCGGGTGATGCCTGGAGAAAAGACATGAGTTGGGAAATGATGGACCCTGACCCAGATAGTCTCTGGTCTGGTTGGAAAGTTGGGCTGTGTGAGAGGCTGGGCGCTTGTTAAGAGTGGCAGGCTTAAACAGGAGGATTTTATTCAAAAAAGGCTCTCAGTTGCTGTTTAAGTAAGTCTCCTGCAGTGGCTGCCTCCCACAGCAGCCACAGCCACAACCACAGCTGCCCCTGTTTCAGCCTGGGCAGCCTGGGTGCTAAGAGGAAGGAGGAGGCACCCCTTCACCACCCCCTGCCCCCGGGCAGAGGAGAGTGGCAGGGCTAGAGGACTTAGAAGTTCCCCAGAAGACTTACCTCAATGGGGGAACTGAACTACCCTGAAAAGACTGAGAGTGTCTAGCACCTAGGACAGCAAAGAGGGAAAAGGTGGCGCGTGAGCTGCCCCTAATTAGTGCACCTCAAGGATGGCACAACTGGTGGATTGATGGCACCGTCCTGGTACACAAGGGCAGTGGGGACACAGCAGAGAATGAGGGACCTGTGCTGGAGGCTATGCAACTGTGAAAATTGTGACCCAGACCTGGCCCCCATCTTCGCAAAACCATAGGAAGGGAGAAAAGTGAAGCCCAACCCCTCTCAGCCTATAGCACCCAGGAAGATCAGAACTCGCCTGACAGTTTTAAAGCCAGCAGGAAGCACTGTTTTCCTTTTTTTGCCCCAAATGAAACAGAAGGACATGGAGCTGTGAAAGGTCCAGAGGCAGAACCAGAGAGAACACAAGGCTTTAGCAGCAAATGAGAAACTGAGACAATTTCACTTTGCCGTTCCAGAGAACTTACATGTTATTGTTTATTTGTATTACTACTTTTTCATTATTTTTACTTCTTTTACTTTATTAGTATTTTTTAAAATTTCTCTTCTTTCTGTTTAGCTTTCTTCATTTTATTTGTTCATTTAATTGCACTGTTTGACTGGTTTTCCTTGTTCTTTCAGACTGTATTTTAATTTTCCTTCTTTCATTTTACTTGTGCTCCAAAAGCGCACTACTCTAGGTCATGTACTTCCCATTTTTGTTATTCAAATCATATAGTTCCTGTCATATTATTGTTGTTATTGTTATTATTGTAAATAATTGCTGTTCCATATAATTTTAAATACTAGACAGCACCCCTCCTGTATCTTAGCCCATTTCATTATCTTCCAGAGCTTTATTATTGTTGTGGTTATGGTAACTTTATTCTCTTGCACAGTACACACACTTTCGATCCTTTACTCTTACTGTATCTCATAATCTCACCTCCCACAAGACCTCAGTTTTCTGGATCCGGCTCACAATCCTTCCTCCATCTAACAAGAGCCTTATCTCTTTTCTACCCTTTACAAAAAATGGATAGTTGGATAAAATATCAGAGTTAACACTATACTTATCCAAAGCACCTCCTATCTCTTCTATATGTGTTGGTACTTTAAATCTCACAGAATATACTCCTGCTGCCTTCATTTTGCCTTCCCCTCCAACTGATCACATAAAAGAGTAGGTGGGAGCTGTGAACACCAACATACCTGCTGGAAGAGAGAACCCACAAAAAAGGAACCACCAACAGATAATAAAGGAAGATGGTAGAGGAGTGGAAGCCACATTAACCTCCACCCAGGACCTATCTGGAATTACAACTAAACGGTACAGAAATTACCCAGAACAAACAACTGAACAAGAGCAAGAGAGAAGCCTCATAACCTCAGACAGACATAACCTGTCTGCACCTGCACAACAGCATATAAGGAGTGGTGGGCAGAGTGACCCTCAGTCAATGAGCTGGAGGGAAGGACCCACCAAAGAAAGACCCAACAACAATCAAAACCCAAAGACATAGAGAGAGCCAACATAAACTACATCCCAAAAGCAGCAAATTCAGGAGATCAAAGAGACTGCACTATTGAATCTCACAGGTCTCCTACCATAGAAGTTCACACCACAAACTGAGGGAGTCAGAACAGATCTATTTAAGAAGCAGAGGCTAACAAGAAGAGTCTCACAAACAGTGGGAAGGCAAAGAAACAAACCCCAAATAAAAGGAAAGGAGGAAGCCCCAGAAAGAATACTAAATGAAATAGAGGCAAACCAACTATCAGATATTGAGCCCACAACAATGGTTATAAGGAAGCTCAATGAGCTCACTGAGAATTACCAAAAACCACAGGGAAACTACAATGAACTAACTGCAAACTATATCAACATGAAAGAGAATATAGAAACTCTCAACAATAGATGAGAAGAAATGAATAATACAATTTCTGAACTGAATACACACTAGAAGTAATCAAAATCAGGTTAGATGAAGCAGAGGATTGAATCAGCAAGCTAGAAGACAAGGTAGGAAAAACACTCAAAAAGAACAAGAAAAGGGGACTTCCGGCCAAGATGGAGGTGTAGGTAGACACATTGTGCTCCTCACACAACCAAAATAAGGACAACAAAAATTTAGAAACAAAAAAAAAAAATAAACCAGTACTGACAGAAAATTGAACTGTATGAAAGTCTGACAACCAAGCAGGTATAGAAGAAACATTCATCCAGATTGGTAAAAGTGGTGGAGTCGGGTGGCTGGGCGGAGAGTACAATCAGCAAAGCAGTGGCTAGCAGACACCAAGTGCGGCAACGCAACAGTGGGTGGACCCAGCGAGGCAGTGGATTGTAGAGGGACGGGCACACGAGGCAGCTGGTGGACCGGGAAGTCCCACATTTGTGCATATACAAACCAGGTGAAACTGGAGAGTGAGACAGACCACGTAACCCAGGGTCCCACCTCGGGAAATAAAGCCTCAAAACACCAATTGAAAACACCTTTGGGGGTTGAGGCAGCAGAAGAAACTCTCAGCCTGAAAGTCCTTCAGAGGAGTTGGTTGGAGAGACACACAGGGTCCTAGAAGTACACAAACCCACCCACACAGGAATCAACACTAGAAGGGCCCAATTTTCTTGGGGAAAATGGTGGAAGGGACTGAAATTTGGCAGACAGCAGAGCAAGTGCCATTGATCCCTGTCGAACCTTTCCCCCACATAATACATCACAACCCAGTGACTGGGTTGCCCTGCTCCAGGGAACACCTAAGGCTCCACCCCTCACCACATAACAAGCGCGTCAAGACAAAAAAAGAAAAAAAAAGAAGGCCCAAATGAAAGACCAGATCAAAGCTCCAGAAAAAATACAACTAAGTGACGAAGACATAGTCAACCTACCAGATGCACAGTTCAAAGTACTGGAGATCAGGATGCTCACAGAATTGGTTGAATATGGCTGCAAATTAGATGGAAAAATGAAGGCTACCGTAAATGAAATAGAGGAAAATGTACAGTGAACCAATACTGATGGGAAAGAACCTGGGACTCAAATCAATGGAGTGGAACAGAAGGAAGAAAGAAAAAAACAAACAAAAGAATGAAGAAACAAGAATTCAAAAAAATGAGGAGAGGCTTAGGAACCTCCAGGACACCTTTAAATGTTCCAACATCCAAATTATAGGGGTACCAGAAGGAGAAGAGGAAGAGCAACAAGTGGAAAAGTTATTTGAACAAATAATGAAGGAGAACTTCCCCAATCTGGCAAAGGAAATGGACTTCCAGAAAGTCCAGGAAGCTCAGAGAGCCCCAAAGAAGTTGGACCCAAGGAGGAACACACCAAGGCACATCATAATTACATTAGCCAAAATTAAAGCTAAGGAGAGAATCCTAGAAGCAGCAAGAGAAAAGGAGACAGTCACCTACAAAGGAATTCTCATGAGACTGTCAGCTGATTTCTCAAAAGAAACCTTACAGGCAAGAAGGGGCTAGAAAGAAGTATTCCAAGTCATGAAAGGCAAGGACCTACATC